AAAAATTTAATTGGCAACTAATTCACTTAGAATTTAAGGTAAATAATTAACAAGTAATTACTAGATCTAACAACAGGCGATGGTTACCCCTTCACGGTAACCCCAATCCTAATGTCACCCTATACATTGACTTCTAATGTGAAAATTAAATTATCATACAAAATAGTTTTAACTGCAATAATAAAAGGCAAAGAACACGATATTGAGCGGACCACGTCTGAAGATCCATAAATATCGAGAGATGCGAATTCATCACTTTAGGACCGTCATCATTTGTTCTAAAGTCTCCAACAACCGGGGAACACGAAATGACACCCGGCACCTTAGCGTCCAAGGGGTAAAATCGTCCAAATTTCACAGTAGTACCCCAAACTGAAATATGTCAACACCGTTGGGTCCGCCTCATCGTCGGGAAAATTCTGTCTTTTGACATCTTCGCCGGATTCCGATCGATACGCCGGCTACGCCCTCGCCGGAGTTTTCACAAGCCGACGGTGGCTCCGACGGCATGTGACCCTTCAGACATCTTCTCCGCCTGCTGAGTCCAATGGTGGTGTCTATTTTTCCATTCGACTTTTGGTTTGTCCGAAAAATGCAAAAAAACAGATCCAGCAGAAAATTGAAAAATCTGGACAGCTTCTTCTGCTTCAATTCTGCTGTGTTTTTGCTCGATTTTTATGCTGATTTCTAGCCTAAAATTCTCCTCAACCTCGCTCTGATACCATATGTTGAATTTGAGGCTCCTATCTTTGATTTCCCTGGCTCAGTCGACACCAAAACGACACCACAAAGCAACAAACCACAACTCACAACCGTCACCTTCCCAAGCTAACTGGTTGCTCTCGATAGCAGACCACAAAGGGCTGGATGTGGGGTTTAATATAGCCTCAAAGATCAGGCCACACAGGCTAAAGGAGGAAGTAGAGAAGAAAGCACAAAAGGTAGGGAAGCACGAAGCAAGACACGAGACTGAGGTGCCTTTTCTTCTCTTAAAACCAAGGGCCAATTCCACACAAAATGGTTTAACATCATAGCCCGGATTTATTGGATATCAAAAACCCAACAGATTTGTAATTCACCTTGTAGCCTTTCATTTTCACGGTTTTCCTTATGACGAGACGACAATTAACGTTACAGCGCTTCTTGAACTTGTACGTTTGTTTCCTTTGCTCCCCCGCTTCAACTACATAAGCAAGTATAGTCTCTGTCTATTGATGTCTGGAAATTATGTGATATCTTGCTCTCCTACTCATCACTTTCAGTCCTATACATACTAACTTGGTTATTCAAAGTACATAGAGTTTGCTGGATTAAGTTTGCTTAAATAAACTTGTACTTGATACTCGTATGATTTCCCAAAATATTGATCAAGTTCATTTGTTTGTTTTGGGTCACAATACATAAGTAGTTTGAGGTTTGCTCATGTGTCTTCTGAAGCAATTGTGGTGTAGTGTCGTAGAAAGTGTGAATTTGGCAATTTGCATCTGCCTTCTCACTTGGGATTATGATTCTGTTGACACACAAAATATTCAGCTCAACTCAAATGACCCAAGAGAGGAAATGGCCCAAGAGAAGAAGCCCATTTAGAGAGATCATGGTGCAAGCCCAACCAGAAATATCATTAAACATGATAAAAGCCCAAAAATAAAGAGTGTTGTCGCCCAAGTTT